GACTTCGGGCGAATCTCCTTCATCACTTATTTCTTTGTAAACCTCAAGCAAAAATTTTGTGGCTGAATTACTGTAATTTGGAAAGTAAATTATAATTAAATGTACATCAAATAACCACGAAATTTTCCTAACAACTCACCTCAGCGATGGCTGCCTTTTCAGTCGTGCACTAGCCGGACTTAAACCTAATAAATCCGCCAGTTGTATCATTTCCTCATCTGAATGGCCACTCTGCGCAATTACGAATGATCGCCAGCACAAAAATATTAACATCATACAAAAACTAAACACTTGGTGAAACATATTTTTAAAATATGTTTTGTTATTACTGCACTTCGAAAACAAATGAACCTTCTGTAAAGGACTTCTGCTTATATACCGAAATTGTTAAATGATGGCAGGTAAAAGCAACTCTTCAAACGTGATTTACGCTCGTTATAATAATAACAGGTAGCAAATGAGTTTGTATAACATGCGAAGTTTTAAAAAATATCATCTTTTAATCGTGGCTTATGCCGAATTTCCACTAGCCATTAAAATGACAGTGTATGCCATTTAAAAAAAATGCCATGAGAAAATGAACTATATGACTATTTCTTTAATGTAATGACACGATTTTTTTTAACGCCCGACTTTGTCATTTGCCATTTTTGCCATTTAATGCCGAGTGGAAATCCAACATTATTCGGGAAAAATTACTAAAAACGTTCGTAACATTTTTAATTATCTTGCTATTTTCAATAACTTTTTAGCATGTTCTATAATCCAACGAAACAATTTAAAAAAAAATGAATAGAGTTAAAATTAAATTAGTACAAATATAATTAACAATTATTTGCATGAGTAATAGCTTTAACCTAGAACGGGTTTAAATAAAAACATTTATTTCACTACATTGGATACCTTAAAGAAGCAGCGCGAAGGAACTCAAATATCTGCTAGTGGCATTATATAAAACTGTACGTACACCTCCGCCTGTTCTTCGGATTGCATCATGAAATGCATTTCCAATAAACCGCTTGAGTCTGTTTTTATTGCTACCTTAGTAGCGGCCGCCAACGCTTTATGCGTCAGACGTATCTCAGTATTACGATAACATGCCGATGTAGTCTCCCGACAATTGAATAACATCATCATATCACTAGTTTTGGCTACTTCAACAAACGTCTCGGTTTTCACCACACCTAATGTTTCGATTTTAAAATGTGGTTGTCGTGGCGATAAAGTAATTCTCAACTCGTCTGCTGCTTTATTTAACTCTTGAAAGAGATGCGCTAACGACGGGCCCCTCACAAAGACGACATTCAAACTAGAACTGTTCTCGTCAAGATTGTAATCGATTACATCATCAACGTTGGTTGTTTTGATGGAGCATTCTGCAGAAATATCAGCTTCGTCGTTGGGTCGCAGCACTAGCACAAGTGGTGCTCCATGACCTTTGTAGAACATTTTTAAGCTGCAAGGAACGCCAGCAAAGAGACCCAAACACTCGGATATGATATTCATGTTTATGCCAAAAGTCACCATATCTACAACGTGAAATTCAGCAAAGCATGAAGCGGTCATATACAAATTGGCTTGCACACATTGGCCTTCTTCTACTGTGACACGTACGCCGTCTTCACTAATTTGGAATTTTCCATTCTGTTCGAGGCAATATTGAATATACTGCATTTGTAATTCAAGTACATTTGGATACTTACATTTTCAAAATTCAATGATTTAATGCCTGTATAGAAAGTCTTGATATGATCCAAACGTGCCACGAATTTAAAATTCGAGTACTGCCGTTGTGTTAACATCCTTATATTCTTTAAGATGCCTTTCTCATAAAGAGTTTTTGAATGTTGCATTCGATTATTGTCAATCCGTGCTATCTTCTGCGTGTATCTCTATAAAACTGATATGCATTCGTTCTTGTAGACTCTTAAATTGTTGCTCAGACACTGACTCCACTTTGAAAGTTGAAGGAGATGGGTGCAACAACTGTGCCAGACGCAATGCCAAAACGTGTGCACAAGTAATTCTTCTTTCTAATTTTTCACTGTGAGAAGTTTGGCTCGCTGTTTGCAATTCGTCTGCTAATCCCAACACACCCACTTTGAATTGAGTACAAGTACAGTAGTTGACGCGTGGAAACAACCAAATTGAGCTCTTGCACTGCTGACGCCTTATTTGTATTTCCGCAAGCTCACTATTTTCATATGTATATATTTGAATACTTTGCTCGTCCAAAATGCTCAAAGCTTCAACAAGAATATCTCCCAAAAGTGATTTGAGTTGCAGGAATAGGTGATTCAGTAGTGCTTCCAAATCTATATCAATTAAAGGATGTTAGTTAGGGTTTTTAGAACCGCTGGAAACCTACCTGAATCTTCATCTAAATCAGCCAAATTACGCTCGTACTCCAGCAGTGCGTCATCGACTAGTTTGGCAAGTATTCGTTTGGCTGCTCGTAAATCGTTGGATTCCAATTGCATTTGGGAACAATTTAAACCGCATGTACTTCTTACGTTTTAGTTAACCTGGAGATATATATATAAAGAAGATTTGAAAATTTATTCACAAAAATATTTTCAAACAAATACGCGGCAAAACAAAGGAGAAGAAAAGATGACGTTTAAATTTTCCCTTTGATATCTTTCGTAAACATTAGACATACAGGGTTGCAAGCACGCTAAGATTTAAAGTACAAATATCGATACTAATTCGTGATTGTACGAAACAAATGCTATCGATAATTAAAAAATGTTCGTTTTGGTTTCAGCTCAACTTGAGGTTAACTTGAGAGCTAAGGCTCTTCTCATATCTCTAACTTTGTTTCTCAACGGTACCTCAAATGGAGGATCTTAGCGTTCTCTACGAAAAGGGCATTTCTTTGTATGAAAATAAGACTGTTTCTCAATTTAAAAATATACTAGTTCTCAACTTGAACTCCAATTTGATTCTCCAATTGGTCTCAAACATATCATTGAATACTAAAATTGAAATAGTAAAATAACATTTACCTTTATGGCTGAAACGACTTACATAGCAGAATATAAATATAAATTTTTATATCGTATTACAATAATTCACTTCACAGTATACAGTCCGACAGTAATCCCGCACTTGATCCACTTAGCGTTTTATTTCATTTGAAGATTATTTACTTTTTGTTGGTAATTTTCCTCTTTATATAGCTTTAGTTTCTCCCTTTGGCCCGACGCCGTCGAAATTCCACGTTTCCTGAGCCTACCGCTGTTGTTGTTGTGATGGCAGCAGTTCTCAAACCCTCAAGTTCTGTCATTATCTTCATCCTCTGACTCTGCAAGCCGGAGGACGAGTAAGTTGGCGGCATTGATAGGCGCAGTCCGGAGTGCTTCTGGTGCATGTGAAGAGATGTTGGGTGTTATGAGGACCTTGCCCACATCCGAGGGCAGGTGATTGCCACTTCTATGTTGAGACGAGAGAGGATTACTTAGAGACTTCAAAATGTTTAGTTCGTATGCACTATTGGTTGGAAATAACTAATTACCGCCTTTGCCTCTTTTTTGGCGGGCAGACATGCATACAATTTTGATAATTTTTGATAATTTTTAATATTTTTCAGAATATAAATTTTTTGAACGTTGGCGTGTCAAATGAAAGCTTTTGGGTCTTTCTGATTGATCGGAGCGCAGAGTTGTGCTGAACTGGTTTTCAAACGAATTAAATGATTTAACTGGTTCAATTTTCCAACAACAATTGCATGCGATTTAACTTGTTTATGAACATGTTTTGTTCATTTAACTGTTTAAGCCCATTTAACATGTTTAGCTCGTCAATTTGAACGTAGTATTAGTTGCGTTCCAGATTCTTCACGATTTGCAGGTTTTACAGGATTTGCTTTTTTCAGCGGATTGTTACGTTCTCTAACTCGCTCTCTCTTGCAAATTTTTTGGGTTATTGCATTTCCAGTAAAAACTTGCAAGTAATGGTAAAAATTCTTCAATTCTTTTTTTTTTTTTTGGTATTGAATGGACCTATCTGATCGGCGTAAGCTACTGCCCTAACGCGCCTTATTTCTGCCTCTTTTAAGCAAGCTGCCAATGGAAATTTTCCATAGTAGAGGTGAGAGCACAGCCGCTTAGGTAGTCACCCTTACTGCATCCTTTTGACATAGGAGTGTCATAAGTAGTTCTGAGTTGATGACCCGATTTCGGAAGAGATTGTTAACCAACGCTGGCAGAGAGTTGCGGAGTCCGAGTTCCTGTAGAGCACCTTGTATATCCAAGAGAACAGATAACGAATGTTTTGTCAAAAAATAGACCTCGCAAGTCAAATGCCAGCTACGCCGACCCCAGTATTTTTGCGGAAAGGTGTTCCTCGTAAAACTACTGTGGTCGGCGAAACCGAAGTTGGACTGATGAGGGCTATTTTTTGATGAAAAAATTACATCGACATCGACGTCGACAACCATAATAGGACCGATTATTTGTGATGCAAATACTTTTCCATTTCAAATATAAGGTTCCCAATGCAATGCTCAAGTGCAGAAGGGTCTGTTTACACTTGGCATGAGTAAACCTGGGCGAACCTTATAAAAACGAGCAGTATTTGGTATTGTAATATACATTTTGGTATCTCGATTTACGTACATATTATTCTTTTTTTCTTCATACATAAATACGAGTACAAGTTTTATTTTAGTTCTGTGTGATATGTACATACATATTTATTTTAAAATGCCTTTGGTTTTATTAAATACAATACTATGTCATTATTTCGCACTTGCTTGTACCAACATATTATAAATTACGCACATGAAACTATTCTTAGTAGACGGTAAAAATTACTTAATTTCTAATAATTACAATAATTAATACATCATATTAATTAACACTTTATAAAAGTATGTATTTATATATATACTTTACATACACAGCTTATTCTATGCTAAATCTCCTAAGTATTTGTGTTTTTGTTTTTTTTTTGTTTTTATAGTTTATTGTATACATATGTATATACTTAGTGTAAATTTAATTACTAATAGGTGGAAAGACGTAATCATCACTCAGACTGTTAATATCAACGTAAGCCGTGCGTGGGCTTAGAGCCTTGTAGAGCTCGGCAAAAGTTGGTCGCTCCTCTGGATTTTCATCCCAGCATTGCGTCATAATAGCATAGACTTGATCAGTGCAAATTTCTGGCTTTTCCAGTCGTTTACCGGACACCAAATATGGAATCAGCTCATGATTGCTGATAGTAGGATATGGCGAAGCGCCCAGGGTGCCAATTTCCCATAAAACGACACCATATGCCCAGATGTCACTTTTGTTCGAGTACACATTGTCGCGAATTGCCTCAATGGAGAGCCAGCGTAAAGGTAGCTGCGGATGAGAGATTAGTTGGAGATTCTATAGTACATATGTACTTATAAACATACATATAGGGTCCGTCAAAAGTTCCGGGATGGACGATTTTCTCAGAGGGATCTGACTTCGACCTTAATTTTCAAAGTTATTTCAGCGTAAAATGTGAAATTTTCGATGGGGACCCCAATTTTTGACCCCGGAATGGGAAAGAGAGTGAAATTATACGTTCAGTTATGCCCTTACATTGGGGGCGCTAGAGGACTCAAGCAAGGGCATATCTGATCATATAATTTTACGCACTTTCCGATTCCGAGGTTGCAAATAGGGGTTCTCATTTTAAATTTCAAAGTTGACCTTGAAATAACCTTTAAAATCAAGGTCAAAGTCAGATCCAAGGTCACCGCGAAATCCATCGGACCTTGTGGACCCTGTACATGCATATATACATACATTTATAATTAAATACTGAACATGTTTTGATGATGAAACTGAACATGGATTTTAAGCCATAATTTATTTGATAATTTAAAAATTGCGTTACATTTTAGGTAGTTTACAAATTTGCATAACTTTTTCTTCCTTAAAAAGAGGGGAATATTTTTTGACCACCTAAATTTCTGATAATTTGAGAACTGAATGTGAGCTTTTTGTGATTTAAAAGGGTGGACATATTTTTTTGTCTTCTAAATACTAAATAAAAATAAAAGCTGGGCAAAAATTATTTGTATTGCAAAAACTGGACATAATTTTTTGTTCGTTGAAACCAAATTTTTAATATTCAAAAACTGGCCATCATTTCTTGGTCATTTTTAAAAGGGCACTAAAAACTTGGCAACGATTTTTTCTGGGCATAGTTTTGGCCATTAAAAAATTGGACAAACATTTCTGATCATTTGATTCTCATCCGGGGCTATGTTATCCTTTTTCTTTGGAGCCTGCTTTTACGTGGCGGGTCCCAATCCCAGCGCTCAACCCATTGCTGGGTGGGGGTGGTTTCGCAACCGCATACACGTTTATATAGCGAGCCGCTTGCTCCAAGACAGACACCCGCTTGCAGCCGCACCTACTGGTGAGCAGACGCTACACACTTCAGTGAGCCCTTAAACCAAATAAGTCGGAGTGGCCCCACCGAAGATCCCTCTCTTTCTGCCGTGACCCAAGGCTCCACTCGGATTGGTTATCTCATCTCGCACATGGGTTGCTCAGCCGGGCCACTATAACTGCTCAGCCGGGCAACTGTAACTGCTGTGTAATTTTTCGGCTACTTAAAAACTGGGGATTAACTTTGAGCAATTGAGAAATGCACCTAATTTTCTTACCACTTAAGGAATGGACATAAATGATTGTAAGCTTGGATGTATGAATGTGACACAAAATATGTATGAAATCTTAGATTTATAAAACGTTGACACAAAATACGAACGGAACTGCACAAGAAAAGCATTTACCGTTCAATAGTCGTTGTCTACTTTCTATCGGCCATTTTTCAAAAACGAAAGATTATAACACTAATAGGCTTATTAAAAAAAATAAAGTAGATTTAAAGAGCTTTGTAAAATGACGTTTTCATACATTTTTTAGTTTAAAAACCTTTTTTAAAGCTACTTTATTTTTTATGTATAGGGCCATAAATCTGTTGATTCATTTTTAAAATAACTAAAAACTTATGTCTAGTTATTAAAAGACCAAAACCCTTAATTAAAAATTTACACCCAGCTCTTAAATGACAAAAAATTATACTATGTCAAACTGAATTTTTTTACAGCTTTTAAATTAACAGTTTTTATAATGCCAAACAAATTTTCTTGTTTTTTAAATGACCAAATATTTGTGCTAATCTTTTATAGGGACCTTACATGGTCAAATTGACCATGACCTTCACGCGTCAAACAACCCATCAAATTTCAGTTTTTCGTTTTGGTTGAAGTTGACGAAAAGCTTGAGAAATTTTTGTATTCATTTATTAATACTAAAATTAAGTCGTATTCATTATGTCCAATTTATGAGCTGCCAAAAATGTATGTGCAGTTTTTAAATTACCAAAAACAATATAAATTAATGAGGTGCGCTAAATTTATGTCCAATTTTTAACTTTTAAATATTTACAAATTTATACTCAGTTTTTGGATAATAGAAAATGTACATACATATGTATTTCTTGATTTTAAATGTTATATTCACGTTTTATGTAATTAAAATTTGCGTTAAGTTTAGGACTGATTTATTAACAAATTTTAAATGACCACAGATTTATGGCTAGTTTTATAACGCCAAAAACATCATAGCTAGTTTTTAAATGATTAAAAAAAGATGTGCAGATTTTTAACTAAACCAAACCAACCATTAAACCAAAAGAAAATATGTCCAGTTAATGAGCGGCGAGAAATGTACGTTTCTACAATTTTTAATCAACCGAAAAATCATGTCCAAATAATATAAAACTAAAAATTGTATGTGCAATTTTTACTTTCAAGCCTACGCGTTAGAATTTTTTCATAAAAATACATACCTTTCGAGTTTTCGTATTGGTATAAATACCATGGCGTGATAGACCGAAATCGGATATTTTCAAAGTTTTGTGATCATCTATCAGCACATTACGGGCAGCCAAATCCCTAAATGAGAGGGTTAATTAGTAAAACAAAAAACAAAAAAACAAATAATGCAGCTGAGTTAACTTCCTCACCTATGCGTGATTTGCTGTTCTTCA